TGTTGCATCGTTTTCCTTCCTTCCTCGATGAGGCGCTCGCCTGATGTGAGCTGAACTTTCTGGAGTTTTTATTCCGTTTCCACTTTCTCGCCACGGCGTTCCTTACATCAGGGACATTTCTGTCGCTCCAGTGCCGGCTTTAAACTCGGATGTTTGGATTTCGAGAAAATGATACAACGTACTGCAACCAGCTGAGCTGAGACGCTACTAAATTTCAAATAAGTTCAAGCGAGAAAAAAAAAAACAACAAAACATGCATGTTGAAACTTTAAACACTTTTCCTCCCATTTCAACCACTGGGATTACAATAAATATGAAGTATTGTGATTAAAATAAAATAAAAACTTCACTTCAGATTTCAGAAGGGCCTGTGTTGCCAGCAATGTTCCTGTCAGAACCGGCAAATTAAAAATATTAACAGACATGCATCAACGTTTTAGTTGTTTGTACTCTAAATGTCTGCTTCCATACCTGAAGAAAGGCGGAAAAAATATCACAGAACAAACATATATATGTGCAAAATTTTATTAGCTTTCATGCCTAACTTTTCTTCAGTGTACAAACAAAAGCAGACGTGTTCTCATAATAATCTTTTTGGGCCATTTCTCCAAACATGGGCCCATGCGTCGTGTTCACGCATGGGCTGGATTTTCATCTTCCACCTTGTGACATCCATCCCAGAAACAGATTGCTGATATTTTCTATTTATTATAAAAGAATTGGTTACAACACAGAAAGGCGAATAAAAACCTTAATTCAAAAAAAAAAAAAAAGAAACAGAAAAATCAAAAGAAAACATGTTTTATTCAATGGTCTATGTTCAGGAGCATAACATGAATGGAAAGAGGAATGGAAGGAGTTCCCTGTGGAAAGTCAAATCGAAAGAGCCTGGAAAAAGGATTAAAAAAAAAAAAAGAAAACGTGAGGTAAATAAATGCATCAGCTTCCACAAGGACACCAGCAAAGTTAGATGAGGACGACCTGGTAGAGGTTAAACATGGGTTGCCCAGGAAACTGGATGAACAGACAGTGAGACCTTCAGCGCCTCTGGGCAAGAAACAGAGGTCACCAACTTGACCTCTGGTCGTTAAGGAAAACCTTACAAATGGATTTGCAGTTTGTCTCCATAATCTAGTCAGACATCAATAACACGCAGCAGGTCGTTTGTATTCAAAGTTGTAAAAGTACTTTCTCACTTCTACAATATTTTAATATTTTAATTTGCTCTTTCTGAAACTCCGCCTTCAGGAAGTCATCCTGATATTTCACAAACAAGTGGCTCCTATAATGAGCTTAGCAGTTGCGCAGTTCCTGCAGGTGTTTTCTAATAGCTAGTCTGAAGGAGGAGCTTCATTCCCAAAGGCGGCCCAGGAGTTTTGCACAGCTGAACAGTTGCCACGAGAGATTAAAGGATTTTTTCAAACATACATGAAATAAAGCAACACTCCATGTATGTTTTTGATGAAGAAATAACATTATGACACAATGTAAAGCTCATACATTAATACATGAAAAATGTGTTGTTGTTTTGCTTTTTCGTTTTTTTTTTTCTTTTCTTTTTAGACATGTTGAATTAATTTGAAGTTAAAATGTTGAATATTGCACCTACCGTTTGTGTACATTTAAGTACAATGTACATTTAAAATCGAGTCAAAATATGTTTTTGAGCCAACATTGCTTTTTTTATCGTTAGTATTTCAAAAACAGCTGAATGTTGCTTTTAATAAATTTTATCCCAACTTTTCTGGCATAACCACAAATCCAAGAACAAGCTAATGTTGACGCTACTGCAAGTCTAAACGTTGGGCCATTTATACTTAAACCAGTGATTTGGATCAAAACTGATCAGCTGCTAATTTTGCATGCAAGTACAAATTCTGAAAAAGGAGGCAATTTAAAAAGACTCTAATAAAATCCACTAAATTAGCAGCCAGTCAGCCTCGCTGCTGGCTTCCTTCAGCTTGTTTCAAAGCGTTTTTGGTCCGTTGAAGTGTAAATGATCTGACCTCACAGAAGGAAGGACCTGGTTCCTCTTCTTTGTCCTTTGTTGTTGCCTTTGTCTTTGGGGTCTATACCCAGCTGATTGGGGTCACATGTTGCAGCGCTGGGTTGATCGCTTGACGCAGTACAGGATCTGACTTCATCTTCTTCAGCTGTAGAGTCATCTTTGTCCATCTTGGCTTGAATCTGCTTGAAGGAACCAACCGAAATTTCTTCTTTTTTGCTTTTATTGGGGTTTCCACCCAACAGTCATGTTTGCATTGGCTTCCACTGTTGCCATGCTTGTTTCATTGGCTGTCTGCTTGAGTTGATCCCAGATCCAGCTTCACTTTGGAGATATTATGTTGTGATAGCTGTGATCAAGTCCCAGGGTTGCTTTAAGGTCACCTTGCGTCATTCACCTGCACAATCTTTTTCTTTCAGCAGTTTGCGTTGCTCAACAATCTGTTTCCAAATCAGCTGTTTGTCATCTCTGCTCTCCTTTTAGTTCATCTTTTGCCAAACCTTTCACTTACTATCGACCGCCGATGCAGCATCAGTGAGCTTTGATTACAGTTACACATTTTACAGGAAGGAATAGTCTGAACTATTTTCATAAATCTGCTGGCTGGAAACTGAGGTCACCTCCTCATTTTTCAGGAAGCCTGCCGTTCCTGTTTTATGACTTGGCAACTCTCTCTGCCTGACTGGGATTTCTTGAGACTACATATGAAAAGAAATAGAATTATATGATAAATGTTCAAAATATAATCTAACTCTTCAGAGTCGTTGTAGTTCAGCCATTTTCCCTCCTGTGCTCCACCCAGGTCCATTCACCAGTTTCAGGACCCGACTAAAACCCCAGTGTCGTTACCTTGAAAAATAATGAGCTTTGGTTAAATATAAAACAGGCTTTTATGCAGAAAATGATCAAATGTTACAAGTCATACAAATTGCAACAAAATGATACAGAGTGACTTTCACCGTCCAGCGCTGGGCTCCAATCAGCTCATCTTGGGGATGAAACCAAGTGAAGCAAAGATTGTAGAACGATTCAGCTTTATTTTCTCTGAGATGTTGGCCTTCTCAATTTTTTGTAAATTTCATCAGTGCTAAATGTTATAAAATAAAACAGAGAAAAGACAGAGTCCTTTTGTCCATAACAGAGTGTTCTTTATAAAATTCTTGTAACATTTTTTTACCTGTAAAGTCCCAATATTCATAGTTTCTTTTGCGTAGGACATTTTAGTTTCATGAGTCATTTTGTTTTTTACAATGTCGCATTGTGGTCTATATTTATCTTTGTACTTAACTTGATCTTTGTTAGCACATTAGATCCACTTTACACCAAAATACCTTTTAGCCACATAAAACAGTTTTTTTTTTATTAGCAGATGAATATGTAACCATGTAACTATTTAGTGAAATCACATACTGTCATGTTTATGTTGAAGTTGATTGAGAGTCATATATATTTTTGTACATATATATTTAAAATGTTTTTGCACTGTTTGATCCTTTTGCTATCAAAATGTGTCACTTTAACCCAAAGTGTTGCTGTTCCTCACCATGTGTTAACAAATGCATCAAAGCAATCAAGAAAAATGTAAAAGCAATAAATCAAGAGTGATGATAGAGTTCTGTCTTTATGAAAAATAATCAGTTAAAATTTTACCGTAGGTTTCTTTTAAATGTGTTTTAAAAATCAGAATTGTTTGCATTTATTTGGACGAATAACTGTGACTTTTAATTGTTTGTTGTAATTTTGCATCTCTCTTCACCACCCAGCACATTGTGTAAAATTGTTCTTTTTCCAGATAAAACAAGCAAACCCTTTTCTGTTTGTACAGAGTCATTTTCACAGCTCATCCATTATGGATCATCCCAAGTGGGGTCGGGAGTTGCTGGTGCCCATCTCCAGCTGCGTCCCGGGCAGTCTGTCACAGGGCAACACAGAAACAAACAGGACAAACAACCATGCACACACACACACACACACACACACACACACACACACACACACCACACACAACACACACACACACACACACACAGAGGAAAGACCAATTAATATTTTTGGACTGTGGGAGGAAGCCTGGAGAGAACCCACGCATGCACAGGGAGAACATGTAAACTCTGTAATCTTTGTACTTAACTTGAAGGTCCTGGGAATCGAACCCTTGGTGAAAGGCAACAGTGCTACCAACTGCGCCACTGTGCAGCCCGTTCACACCTCATCAATACACAAAATGATTCTACTTTAGGGACAAAAGACAGATGTGAATTCTTGTAGTTTTGAAACCAAACAGTTTTTTCTTAAAAAAAAAAAAAAAACATCAACAAGAAAGAGTTGCTCTTTCTTCATAACATCAATTTTATTTCATCAAGTTTACAATCAAGTCTATCACTGAGCAAAACTCACTGCAAGCTTGTGCACTGCAAAAACATAAAAGTTACCAATTATTTTTTGTCTAGTTTCTAGTGTTAATCTTTCAGTTCACTGATATAAAGCAAAACTAACTTACAAGTAATTTTGCAGCAAAATATAGGAACTGTTTGTTTTAAGTCAATTTCTTAATATTGACTTAAAAGATGAAAACTGACTATTTAAGCTGTAAGAGGGGGAAATGTTTGTTTATAAGTGAAATTATCTGTCAATGTAACAAGAACTTTTTTCAAGTTTCTTTAGAACGATGAGTTGTTAAAGTTCTTCTGTAGGCAGATGATAGCACAGATCAGTGTCCGTCCTGTGATTGGACAGATCAGTGTCCATCCTGTGATTGGACAGATCGGTGTCCATCCTGTGATTGGACAGATCGGTGTCCGTCCTGTGATTGGACAGATCAGTGTCCATCCTGTGATTGGACAGATCGGTGTCCATCCTGTGATTGGACAGATCAGTGTCCATCCTGTGATTGGACAGATCGGTGTCCATCCTGTGATTGGACAGATCAGTGTCCGTCCTGTGATTGGACAGATCAGTGTCCGTCCTGTGACTGGTGGCTTCCTGTCCAGCAGGAAGTTGTGGACAGAGTTTAGAAGCTGCTGAAGGACTGCAGACATTCACAGGAAGCTGGACCAGCAATGGCTCTGCTCAAGGTTCTGCTGGTACTGCTGCTGGGTGAGTCAGACACACTGGAGACACTTCCATTGGTTCCAGTTAGGCTGCTTCTCTCCGAGACTCTCAAACTTCCCTCTGATTCTGTTTCAGACTGAAACTTCTTTGCATATAAATTGTGATACTTTTTAATCTTTAACCATTGTTTGCACCTGATTTCTGAATAAAATTCTCCTTTTTCTTCTTCAGGCGTTTCAGTGAACTCTCTGCAGAAGAGAATCATTGGAGGTCATAACTGTGATAACCAGCAGCGTCTTCATTATGTTCGAGTTATAGGCAACAAGGGTAAAGAACGGACCTTGTGTGGAGGATCTCTGATCCATCCTGAGTGGATTCTGACTTCAGCTCACTGCTGCAAGTCAGAGCCAGGCTGGTAGGAAAGACACATTAAGACAGTTTTACCTGCAGATGATCTGGTTTCCTGTGTGTTCATTATTATCTAACCGTTTCTGCAGGAGATTCACAGCAATGTTGAAAGTTCATCCACTGACTGCTAACCAGCAGAACTTGGTAATCCGACAGGATTCTGTGATTTATACTGACCAGGGGCAGGAGCATGACATCGTACTGCTGAAGCTTCCGACACCAGTAACAGACGTCCCACCTGCTCAGTTACCAAATTGCAACAATCGTCTTAAAATGTAAGTCTTTCTCTGATCAAAGAGATCACATCAGGTTTTCTGTCTCCACTCCTCCAGTCCTTCTGCTTCTGCTTCAGCACACCCGAGTCAGGTAACAAGGCCACCAGCAGAACCAGAACCTGTTTAGCTCAGGTGCGTTGGACAATAGACACATGCAAAAGACAGAACTGGAGGTGGACACTTTTGCGTCAGTGGATGACATCCTGCGTGGATTTATTCTCTTCATCACAATAAATGTTCTATATTGTCATCTTGTTTTTTCACATTTTATTCTTATTGTGTTTTAGAGACAATACTGTTCAGCTGGCTGGAGAAGGACCAACAGCAACCGGCCCCAATAACAGGCGATGTGAGAGAAATATTGAAGTTATGAGAACAAAATCTTTGTTTCTGTCTGTACAGAGAAGGTTGAGTGAAAAACACGTCCATGATTCTCACGTTTCTCTACAGTAACCAATGCTCCTATGCCATTACGTCTTCAGTGTGTTGACATGAAAGTTGTTGCCGTTTCCAAGTTCCTCGAGAAACGTGTGCACTTATTCCTTACTGCAGCACCGAACAAGGATTCATGCTATGTAAGTTTGTTTCTTTAACATCCCTCCAAAGTGATTAGGGTTTTACAACACATATAAATGTATTGTTATAAATTTTTCCACAGGGCGACTCTGGTGCAGCAGTGTTGTTCAACGACATGATTTACGGTTTGATTTCTGGATGTGGAACAGACTATGCATTTCAGACGCCAGTTGTAAACATTGATGTCTGTGTGTACATAGACTGGATTAAAGAAACAACTGGGCTTAAATAAAACATAAACTGTCTTGAAATAAATTTCTCACCAAATTTCCTCTCATATCATCAGTTTGTTCCACAAGCTGATGAATGAATTAAGCGTTAGGATGAATTAATAGTTCTGTTTCTTCTCATTTGATCTTGACCTCCCTAATGGAGCTTTCTCTGCCTCTGAAATGAAAACTAAATCAATAAATGACTGAAAAAGAATCATTTTCTGGCTGATCATCTTTACTTTCATGCTTCAGTTTGTTCAGTTGACATGAGTCTAAAAACGTGACATGAGTCTTAACTCACATGGAGACGAAAATCACAAGTCCTTTATTTATTCAGTTTCTGTCTTTATTTTACAGCAGAAATTAACATGTAGCATCTAAACTCTGCAGCTCTGGAGTTACTATTCCAGATTTAGTGAACTTTAAACTTCAACAAGACCAAACAACTGTACACGAAACAGAAGTCACATAATTAACAAACAATAAAATCCTAAAAGTTTAGACACAATAAAAATCATCACATTTTTAATAAAGATACGAAGGAAATAAAGAGTTCAATAAATGAACATAATTCTCAGGTTAAAATCTGGTTTTTCAGGCCTTTATCCAGGCAATGGACATTGAAGAGAACATAAAGTTTCTAAAGCATGTCATATCGACTGTTACAGATGAAGAGGATCCCATAGAGTTCCTCAAAGTGGGATTAGGATTCAGTTCCTTGATGAAACCTGTCATCAACATAATCCAGGAACCGATAACAACGAGGCGTCAACTAGAAGATCTGAGACAGACATATGAGGAACAGAACAAGGACACGATACGACTTTTTGTGAAGTCGTTGCTGCGCAGAGGCATCGGGAAGTCGAAGACATGTTTCCATCGAAGCTACCTAAAAGAGACACGAGAACGTGCTGTTGATAACATCTGGGCCAACACTGAGGGACGACAATATGAAATCCAGCAGAAATGGATTCCTAATCTGAGCAAAAAGGTTTTCAGAGACATTTCTAAAACCTTGGGCTGTTCTGCTGGATGGACGCTGACTTTCATGGAGCATCACTTGGTCGACAACAGAATCGTGTCAATTGAAGACACATCAGAAAATAGGAGGCAATTTTATTGCAAGGATTTTTTCTGGTGCAAGACTCCTAGTCTAGAGGAACAGTGGGTCAGTATTAGATCCATCTAGATCCAGAGACGCTTTTTATGCAGCAGTATGGAAGAGACATCAGTAGAGGTGAGCCAGAGGGCATACGAAACTGAACGAGAGAGTGAAGGATCCCTTCTGTGAGTCTGATTTTGTTTTAACCTCTGCATGGCCAAGAAGAAAGCTCAAGCTTTGCTGCTCAGTTGAGAAAACCCTTTTGAAATGTTAGCACATCATTCATTAGCCCACTTCTACTTCTACAGAGTTTGTGTGGTCGAGGCAGATAAAAACCCTAACCCAGCCCAAAGTGAGGGTTTAAGAAATTCTCAAGCAGGATTTCTTAAGGAGGATAGAGGTGAGAGGCGTCTGCTACAGGTTTAGATCGTGAATGAAGGATTGTATAAACAGCAGGAGTTTGGTTGCTGTGGCAGCCCAGAAGAGGTGGCATGAGAAGCAGCGATAACCAGAGATTTTTGATGTTGGCCTTGTGAAATGGAGCAGAGTGTATTACTTCACTGCTGCTGCTCTCAAGGATGAGGACATGCATTAGCTGCTCTGTTGCCTGCCAGCACTGATGCAAACAATCGTTAGATGAAAGGTCTCCGCTATGTTTAGAAGCCACGACTGAAACCAAGTATGTACATACAATGGAAAAAGAAATGTCAACCTTTGTGTCTTGTCATGAAATTGGTAATATTTGGGGTAATTTATGACTTCTCCATCACCCTGAATTCACACACCACCACCGCAAAAAAAAACAAACAAGCAAACAAAAAAACAAAACAAATATTCAGCTTTTAACCTAACATATAATTTGCCAACGTAAGTGGTTTTAGCTGTTAAAATAGCCCTGGAATCCATTAGCCTCTATAAAACTGTGAGCTTTAAAAGAAGCAGGTGGCCCTAAACTCAATCCTCTTTTCTTTTTTTACCAGAGTTTTTGCGAGGCTATGTGCCATTTGAAGAGTTTACAATCGGGTTTAGTTTGGAAATAAACACGAGGAAGTTGTTTCTACTAACGGTGTGTTAGCATTAAGCTGCTTCGAATGCACCAAAGGAGCTTCACCACAGAGTGACACGTAGCATGTGGCAATGTTGTGCACATGTTGCCTGCAATAGTTACAGGTGCTTGAAGAGACCATCCACAAAGAACTCCAATTTAAAACAGTAGACTATTCCAACTTATTGAATCACTTGAAGAGATACCGGCCCAGTGTCGTAATCCTGACTCTTCTGACAAAACTTGGCACATGAGTTGACATCAGCGAAGTGACTTTGATACAACTCAGCAAAAACCAAAAGGGCCCCTCAGGAAAGTGTCACTGGCTCCACCTAGGGGCAGCATGTACTTTAAATGATCTTATAGTTTTAACATTGACAATCTCAAACACGAGTTGCATCAGATAAGAGCAGTGTTGGAGAAGAGGAAGACGGAACAGGAAAATCCTGCCACTCTGATGAAGATGACTCAATTTTTGGTCCCATGTCAGGATGTTTTTCACGAGCTGTTCAGGTTATGTGAAACAGCTGTTGTCGTACCAATGAGCAGTGATTTCTGTGAACAAAGTTTCTCATCAAAGTGCTCGGCATTGAATCAAAATGAGCAAAATCTTTGGATCTGGATCAATTTGTAAAGCATTTTGCTGAGCAACGTGGAAGCTATTGTTGAAATGACCTAAGGTCATGTTATTGTACATCATCATGGATCCGTAGAGCTGCAAAAATAATGACTCCTATAAGTAAATTCCTGCCTGGTTTTTGTTTCATTCATGTTCTTTTCAATCTCAAGCTTTGTTGTCACTTCTTTATCATGCCCAGCCTGTTATTTTGGGTTTTTTGGGGGAATAAAACTTCATTATGCCCCTCTAGTCCCTCAGCCTGTGCTTGGGCTCTAGATCTACCACTGAATGCTGAACCTTTTTCCAACTAAAGTCTCTGAGGTTTCAAGTTCTATGTCTCAGCTAAAGTCATGAACATCGGATTGTCTCTACAGTACAACAATCAGTTCTCAAGTTAGATCAGTGCACAAACAAACCATGAATTCATCTTGGAAACTACTGGCCTCCCCCACATTCCTGTTGAATTTATGTATGGGGGTGTTGTGTAGTGGATCTCTTTATAACATTCAGTTACCATGTCGTTCTTCTGTCAAACTCACACATTATAAAAGCCCTGACTAACCTGTCAGCATGGGGAAAAAAACATATGCTGCACATTGACCTGCTGCCATAGAATCTGTCTGACAACAGCTTAACAAGTGTATCAGAATTCAACTCTAAAAGAAACACAAAAATATTTCCCACACAAAGAACAGAACACTGAGGCTGTTAATAAGCAATCGTCTGAACACAGCGGCAGTAAATTAGCTTTTTCAAACACCTGCTCTACTGAGTATCTGTCAGACAGTGGGCGTGTGAGTTGCCTGAATGGTTTATGTTTTTTACTGAACCAAAACACACCGAATTCTTCAGCGCTTTTAAGCTTGTCAGAGTCAAGCTTAAAAGTCAGCATGAATATCGACAGCTAGGACGAACGGTAGCCATCGTGTCTTTTTGACATTTTGTACAAGAAATACACAGAAGGTTTCCTTGAGATGTGTTACCTTAGTCAGATGGTTTTACCATTTCCCCAAGAACAGTAAAACAACCTGTGGCCGTTGTTCGGCTGTAATGAACCACTTCAGACATCCACTGATTACTCTGTTACATTGCATTAGTGGGAGACGCAGGAGCAACGTTAACTGGAACTGTCAGGACCGAATGTGTTCCTAAATACATTGCAGTCTCACAGTTGTAAATCATGGATGGATGTCAAAGCTGAACCCTGTTTTTTTTGGGGGAAATAAAAGGGAGAAACGATTGAAAACATCAATACTTTAATCCTCTGCTGAAAAACAAGCAGAAAAGCAACATAAACCCACTGAACGATAAACTCCAGTCTGTAAAAACCAAAGCTCTGCCACTGTGGATATTGCTAGAAATCTTTACACTAGACTTATTTTCACATTGATAGGATGGAGGCCATCGCAATAACATCTTTGCCCCGGGAGGTAAAGATGTTATTGGTACCTTCAGCCTCACTCACATATTTTCATCAGTAATCAAATCCCTGAAATCAAGTCGAATTTCAGGACTCAGAAAGTATTGCTACAATTTAACAGAAATAATAACAATGAAAGGTAGATCAACAGATTGACAAGGCACCGTGAAAATCAATCAATCCTTTATCTCAGCCTTTAGTCCTTGTTCCATCTGGAACAGATTTTTTCAAAACACATAAAGACGAGGGAATCGTAGAGTCGTCTTCCGAGATGAGATTTGGTGAAATCCCACTATTTCTTACATGTATCTTCAGACGCAGCTTTTATTTGTATCTGATATTCATTTTTTTTTTTTTTATCTCATCACTGATAGAAAAACCAGCTGGAAGCTTTGACAGCAATAAGTTCCACGTACAGTTTCTTTTGACGACGAACGAGACGACTTGGAATTGTTTTCTGGAACCTCCGATGAAAAAGAGTAGAATAAATAGAAGGGTGATTTTGATCTTGCCTCGCTTCCCATTTGAAGCGGGCTCCCCGCCGTTGTAAGTTAAAGAGAAAATGAATGAGCCGCACGGTGGCAGCAGACGAACCACCAGAGAACAAAACAGTCTGATCTTGACTGTAATCTGAACGCACCATGGCAGAAATATGTAGAGGCTCCATAAAATAACCACCATACATCAAAAGAAGTGTATTTAATATTGAATCATTGTCTTTTCAAAGACTGAGTATTGGGGGTGGGAGGATTTATGAATGGAGAGTGATGCTAATAAAACGAACCTTTGAATAATTTTAGTTCTCATTTCCTCCATTGCTTCTCTTTCAGCACTGAAAGCATCTCTGATGTGGCCAGTTGCCCACTTTACTGACGTGGCGTTCAAGAATAACCCGGAAGTATCACTGAACCGAAACACACCGAATTCCACAGCACATCTCAATGTTATGGTTGTCAAAATCAAGTTAGCGTAACTGACCTGCATATGTGCATGAGTATGAGCCAATGAAACACATGTGCACACAGTAA